CAAGTCCAAAAGGAAAATCTGTAATGAAAGTTAACCCTTATGAAACTGAATTGTTTGCCGCAAACTTGCAGCAGACTTGCTGCAAGCTTGCGGCAAACAAAAAGTTTGCAGGAACACAGAAAATAGTGTTTGCAGATGTTTGCCGCTAGCTGCAAACTTCCGGCAAACATTGCAGCTTTTTGCTGCAAGCTTGCGGCAAGTTTGCAGAAACATCAATGTTTGCCGTTAGATTGCCAGAAAGTTTAAAATTATAGAGAATGTTTGCCGCAAGATTGCAGAAAACTTTGACCATTCTATATGTTTGCCGCAAGATTGCAGAAAACTTTGACCATTCTATATGTTTGCCAGAACATTGCAAGAATTACACAAAATTGACTGGGCATGCCTAGTTGGCACTTCCTGGAAGTTATCAATTTGAAATTGTGGCTAGGTCATGTTGGTTGTGTTTGGAAAATGCATTTCACAAATAAGAGATCAAGGAGGCATTTTGGTTCAATAGATAAGGATATTCAGTATGTAATTTTGTAAGTACAAATAATTCATAGAACTGCATGTTTTAATAAAATAATTAATGTTATCATCATACATAATAAAGTAAGCAACTATATATACATGTATGTGTGTAATGAAAAACTTTAGCTATTATACGTTTGAATTTTGTAACTGATGTACATGTACTGTACCATGTTTATTAAAACTAAGTTCAATTCTGTTATGCAATTGTTACCTAGCTTTATACTCAATACACATTTGAGATTTATCCTTTTTCATTTCTTAATAAAGGTATATGATGTCATTTGAGAATGACCCCTGCCCCCTTTTTCAAAACTCAAATGCATGTATGTATTTCCTTAAATCTCGTAAGTTTGCAAGAACTCTTTCAATGACTGTTTGTATACAGGCATGAATTGATTTTTTAAAAATGTTGCTGTGTAATTTGAATGAGATACATTGAATATGTCTACACACATGACATTGGTATATAATGTGTAGTTCCTGCAAGTTTGCCGCAAGTTTGCAACAAACGATTGCCGCAAGCTTGCAGCATACAATTGCCGCAAGCTTGCGGCAAATCCAATTTGCATAATTATGTTTGCAGCAAGCTTGCCGCAACCTTCATTTGCATGGTAAAATGGTTGCGGCAAGTTTGCAGCAAATGTTTGCTGCAAGCTTGCGGCAATGTTTGCTGCAAACTTGCGGCAAATGTTTGCCGCAGAGCTTATTTTTCGGTAAGGGAAGGTAAACAAACGAGATTATCAATCGATTCTGAAAGAAAAAAATTTATACATGAAATCCTTGAACAACTGGCTTGACAATGTTTAATTAACTTAATTGGAAGGCATGGACAACAAAAAAAAAATAAGCATCGCTCTATATCGTCTCACTTATTATTCACCATGATTCTGTGTTGATTTTTTTTATGAAGGTCAAAAACAGTAGACATCGACACAAAAACCAGAAAGTTATTAGTAGGCAAAGTTTCGATCAGCAATCAACGAATGAAATATTTTTCGTCGATTGTACGTTACGGATTCTAATAAATATAAAAAAAATGTACACAGATGACTTAGTTATGTATATATGCATGCTTTAGTTCATTGAATATCTTACGTTATAATCACCCTAAACTCGTTTGAATAAACTAATAGATGATGCTTTTAGTACTAGCCTGAGAACCAGTTTTATCTATTTGTTAAATTTTCAGTGTAATTTTAGAAAAAAAATACCTCTTTGTATTATGGGTAGCCAAACTTGAAATTACCCCAATATAACCAGTCAATTTAATCATAATATTCATTTTATCGCATGTACTACGCTGTAATGCACTGTTGTTTAATGGTTCAAATAAAGACAGGCTTTTCCTTTTCAGTCTATAATAGTAAGGTTAAAGTTAAGTTTATTTTACTTTTTTATGTTCTGTTTGGTTTCTAGTTACTTCAAAACAAATCTTAAATAGACTAAATTGTACAATATCGTGTCTTCATGTACTGTCAATGACATTGCTGTGTGAAATATACCCCTTAGTTTTAGAGTGTACGAAGACGTGATGTATACATCCACTAATTAAGTTCTTTGGTCTCAGTAGCTGCAGTTAGTATCGTTTAACTTGTACCTCCATTTATTGTCTATAATAACGATATTATAGAAATTAAAAAAGAGTGGTGGAAAATACCAACGGGATAGTCAAACTAAAAACTAAGCAACACGAACCCCACCAAAAACAGGTGCTTTCGTTCTTCTATGAACCGCTGGTTATTCAACTACCTTAGATAGAAAGTGAGTGTTGAGTTATAAAAAAATCCTTAATTCCGCAATATGGCAAATGTAAAAATAAGAAAATGTGATATGATTGCCAATGAGACAACTTTCCACCAGACACCATATGACGTAAAAGTAAGAAACTATATGTTATCGAACGCGTACGTACTTTAACAATGAGCAAAACCCATACCGAATATGCCGGTTTCAAGTTGGGCATCTTGTCATCGGTTGTCTTCAGCAATATCTTAATGTGTTTGTATTCTTCAGAAAATTAGTGGTTGAGTCTATTCTCTATTGAACTTTTCACAACTTGTTTGGACTTGGGACTTTTTAGTTATTGACATATAGATGCTAAGTTGGAAACAAAGATAGAGACTACCAAATATCTGCTACTTGGAACTTGGAACTTGTCTACAGTTGAAGACAGTATGTATAGATCCCTTTATGTCTTTTGGTTTTTTTCTTAATCAATGTTAGGTTGATGTCTCATTGACGTTTACTTCATAATCTCCTTTTACTATTATTTTTTTAATTATTTAGATTTTTTGTAATTAAATTGGTCTCTCTCCAATTGGAAAAAATCAAAAGACAAAATAAATCAAAATGAAAATAAGGAGATGTGGAGTGAATGCCAATGAGACAATTTTCCACCACAGATCAAATGATAAGGATGTGAAAAACTACAGGTCATCATACGGCCTTCAACAATGAGCATAACTCATACCGTATAGTAAGCTAAAAAAATCGTCCCGTAACCTGGACAGTGGTGTAACAACACAACATAACAGCAAACTGTAAAAATCGGTTAGAAAAGGCTTGACTCATCAGATCATGATTAACTACAAAAATAACTGACATAAAAGACAAAAGAGACAGAGTACTGATCTTACAGTACATTCGTAGTAACTGAAAGCTAGTTAAAACCTCAATTTCAAATTAATCATGTTTTTCCAGACTAATGTATCAATCAGTGCACCTCTAATGGTGCCATCGCGTTTGTAATCAGATTTCTACAGATAAAGCCAAACTTTCAAAACAAATCTTTGTAACTATTGAATGAATTATTAAAGGTTATACAAGTATTAATGAAACCCCTGAATCATTAATCTACCAGTTATACATAGATTTTGACGTCAGTGTTCGATAAAGACTTGGAAAAAAAATATTTGCTGCTTCTTCGTTAAGTTTGCGACGTTTAGAAGTTAGAATAAAGACTTGTTGAATCAGAATTTTGTGTCTTGGTAGGGTGAGACTTATCGGCTCGGAGTCCGAATTGTGGGTCTTGGTAGGGCGACATTTCTTCGTGCGGACCGTACATGTAGCCATTACCTTATGAACTGGTAGGTTAAAAGTCCGGCTCAGCGTGGACGGTCTAGTAAAATTCGAGTTTATATCCATATCACAGTGCTATGCATAGGCGGATCCAGGGGGGGGGGGGGGCTGGGGGGCCCGGGTCCCCCCTTTTGTGGGAAAAATTTGATTATATAGGGAATCACTGAAGCATGACTGGAGCGGACCCCCTCTCCCCTTAGGTCAGTCAGCGCCCCCCCCCCCCTTTATGAAAAGTTCTGGATCCGCCACTGCTATGTTATTGTCCTGATATATATGTTGAATTTACCACTGGACGTTGAAAACTAATTTATCATTATCATCATGCAACTCAACAACTGAAAGGACATTAATAATTGCTAATCATAAGAAATTTACTTTAATATAAAAACAAGGAGATGATGTATGATTGCCAATGATACAACTATCTACCAAAGTTCAAATGAAGTGGATGTAAGCAATTATAGGCAACCGTACGGTCTTCAACAATGAGAAAAACCCATACCGTATAGTCGGCTATAAAAGGCCCCGACATAAAAAATATGAAACAATTCAATTGAGAAAAATAATTGCCAAATTCATAACAAAAAAATTTACGAAAAACAAATATGACAGAAACCACTGAACTACATTTCAGTTCTCTGCATGGAGGATACTTCCACAGTATAATTAGAATGTTCTTGATTTTAAAATATCAACAAGGTAACGGTAACACAATTCTGCTATTAAAGGACTGCAACTCGTTCCCATAGCAATACCTAAAACCTGTCACTAAGCTTAATTACTGAAACGTACATGACTGTTTATGTATATATATTTTTTTTCAGAGTCGAGTGTCTGTGCGATAGTTCTCTCATTGACAAGCATACCACATCTCCTTAATAAAGGAAAATAACCAGATGTTTTCATGGAGGAAATTATAACATCTTTAATCACCTCATCACAGTACCAGTATAACCATATCTAGAACAGTTCCAGCGTGATATTATAGAAGGATATATGTTCATTAAAGGGCGAACAGAAGGTATATCCCGAGGCCCTTTTTCCTGTCCACCCTTTCACATTTTTCATTTGTTCTTTGCTTTCCACTTCTCCCATCTAAATCTGATCAAATCTGTATCTGCATGTCCTTCTTCTCTTCATCCTTCTATCCTCTGGTTTTCTACAACCCTACCATTTAGACGGTGATTAGCATATGCACCATAAAGCTTTTGATCTGATTTGATTTGTAGGCTTATACCCGGTCTAATAATCTCATTTAGAAGATACAACTCCGTACCGTCTCTTCAATAATTGTTAGATGTTACTTTTATTTACCTTTTGAAATATAAAGAACATAGCGCTGCATTGAAATTAAAATTCACGTTCTATAAATAGACTACAACAACCTTTTTTCGACGTTTCACACAATGAACTTGACTATGTTAAATTCACTAATATCTCCACCCGCGCAAGTTTACCTATGAAAACTCACCTGTGACGAAGGAATGTGACACATGGCCAGGATTAATGTATAAACAAAGTAAATTGTTTTCATTATTTTCTATGAAACACGTGGTATCCATAAATGGGACAGAAATATCTACTTTTACTTTGCACATGAGCTGATTGTATACCTCATCGCACATTTCACGCGTTTTAACCACGACAATATATGAACGTAATGTAGTACAGATATGTGTATAAGTGAAATTGTTCAAAGGTAAGTTTGTCAAAATTTAAGGTTTCATATATGTACGATTGTTATATTATTTTAGCCTTTTAAATCACAGTATCGTTTAATCACAGTTGTATTAATGTTTATTCGTTGTTTACACATGTAACTGTGACCTATTATACACATGATATATATTTCTGATAGATATATATTGCGTTGACAGATTATAGTTTTGGCTTAAAGTAAACAAACACCTAAACTGCTATCAATTAATTGATTTTATCAGGACGTACATTCTGTCTGAATACCAGTGTTGTCAGACTTAATGTAACATGTAATGTTAACATTACTCCTAAATAACTGTGACGGTCTTGTCCTGGATATGCATGAAATATTTGTAACTGGACATTAAGCAAGCAACAATCAATCAATCAAAATCACTTCTCACGTGGGGACATAAAATTTAAATAATTGCGACACGCTGAAAACTAGTAAACATACACTTGATTTCAATATTGCACTTATACTGGCCCTCCTATGTTAACTTAATCGTACACACTATATAGAATTGTGAGCAACAAATCAATTCGTTTATGTTAGTTTTAGCAACCCGGATCTCTTTTATCTTTACAACAAGCTAGGACCAAACCCCCTAATGAGTTATAAATAACGCAGGGTACCATACCTACCCTATTATTTAATGCTTCAAAATGCCTGCCCTAAAGTTTCGGTATTTTTTATAAAAAAAAAGCAAAACAGAAAGAAATTCTAACCTACCTTCCTTAAATGATGTACTCTTATGGTTGGACTAACCCTTTTTTGGATATAAATTTACAGTGCAAACAATATTTACGGCGCGGAATGTTTGCGCTTTTTGTACATGACATTTGCGTATTATAAACATAACATTAGAGTTTTGGTGTTATATGACTAAAAGTCATACACCGGTTATAATTTTAAAAGTTATTTCATATCCAAAACATAGCACATTCATATATATATATATACAGCTAAAAGTTAAAATTCTAAAAACATATAGGATACGTGTAGTCATCACAAGTCAGTTTTAGCTGGATACCTGTAGCCCAAAGATTGAACAAATGTGGCTCGCGTAATCTGTCTTGACTGGTATTTGTCACACAATTCAATTCTAGACTGAGGTGTATTTCAAATTAAAAACCAAATTACCCTTTTTCCAAATCTAGACTGAGGTGTAATATATCTAATTTTGATGAAGTTGATGGATTGCTGGTCAATGATACTTTTTTCTTCTTACTCTATATATAGCCTTTGGCGCTGGTCAATGATGCTCTTTTCTTACTCTATATAAGCCTCTGACGCTGGTTATAAATTCTTAGGATGGACGGTCTCTGTGTTGGAAGCCGCTTGGCATGTACTCTTAGCTGATGACTCTCAATTTTACTGTTTTCAGAGATGAGTATGTTAACTTTTCTGATGCAAAATATGTATAAAAAGTAAAATAACAAAAATACCGAACTCCTAGGAAAATTCAAAACGGAAAGTCCTTTTTCAAATGGCAAAATCAAAAACTCAAACAAATCAAACGAATGGAAAACGACTGTCATATTCCTGACTTGGTACAGGAATTTCCTTATGTAGAAAATTGTGGATTATAGCTGATTAGTGGGTATAGTTCCACTGTCCGTTTTGATTCTTGAATTGCAGAGGGTCAATTTAGTTCAGGTTTATCAAAGATGAATGCGCAAATATCATTTCGTGTTACAGATAAAACAGCTTATACTTCTAGCGCCAAATATTTAAATTTGTTGTAAATTTTGTTTTCATAGTAACCATGGTAACAACTCTCATCTCTCATAAGAATTTATTTGATTAACAGTATAATGTATCCAGAAAAGTTGTTGCCTTTTATTAAATTTACAGCATTTTGAAATCGTTCCCCCGAAATCACAATAGCCTTCGAACAGTAAATGTATACCCCCAAAGGAATAATATATCCCAAACGGGTTATTATATATCATGAGGATTATTGGTTTTAACCCGTTTACAAATATTTCCATGTAGAATTATCACCAATTTCCGCAGAAATGTGAACAGTGAATTATGAGTGCAAGATTCAAATGGTTGGGGATTTCGTTTGTATCCATTTTATCAATAAGCTTCGACTATTTTACATTGTGAAATTCTGTGGGGACTTAAAACCTGTTTAAATTTAAATATTTTTTAAATAATGGGCAAAAACAAACACTTTTATCTACTTTGGAATTTGTCAATTTACCACGTGTTTTGAAAGGAAAATTATATCACAGTATATATGTAAGAAGTAGGACACATGTCCCTGAATTTATTTCCCACAATGACCATCTTCAAAAAACTTCTTCGACTTAATAAGATTTTACCCTATGATAACTTCAAACATTAACTTTGGATAGTTGTCTCATCGGCTAATCATACCATATCTTCTAATTTTATATTATTTTTATTTTGTGTTTTAGTAGCATTATGTCTTGTATAATATGAACATGAAACCATATCACGAGTGCTCAAAGATGGCCCCAAAACCGCAATTTTAAAACGTTACGGTTAATTTTCATTATTTGTCAAAATAACCAATGAGAATGAATGAGAATCTAAATTCCAATTCCTTCAAAAGTAAAGATATAGGTGTAGTCTTTCCGATGCAAAATATATAAAGTATTTTAAAACATGTCATTGTTATAGCGCTTTATGATAAACAATTTGATTTTTTGGGGGGATATCTGAAAAATCGTTGTAAAACATTTTAAGTATATTATTTATACCCTCCAATATTCCAATTCCACATGGTTTCATAAGCTCGCGCATTTTGATCCTGAATGTAAACAAAAACTATACCGTTTTCGAATGGATAACCCTTGCGATGGGCAGTTAAGATAAAAAAAAAATCATACGAAATGGTGATTTTAAGTAAAAAGATAGTTACATGTAACCATGCCCATTTAATTCAGCAGAAATGGTTCGATAGAAGATCCACAATGATTTTAATGTTAAGATTAAAAAGATAAAGCAGTGTTTGTCCTACACTTGACTTAATATTTAACACGAATACAAAATGAATTATTGACTGAGTCAGCAAGGTAATATATAATTGAATTAAAAGAAATGTGTGTATATTGGAGGGAAAAGGGGGTCCGTGATCTATGAATATGACAGTTCACATATATTTTCCATCTCTTGAAACCTTTGCATATTTTTTGCAGGTAATGGGCATATTTGATATAGTTCACTTTACTGAGGCATCGTTGGAGAATAAAGACGACGAACCCTCGGTATGGGCTTGCTTTGGGTTTTATCCCAAAGATATAACGTACACACAACTTGTTTATGATGCTGTTATGTATGGTGAACATTTAAACAAACCAAAGAAAGCAATTGTTAAATTCAGGAGATTCAGAGCAGGAACGGAGCAGTTCTGGGAGTCTCGTTTAGATTCAAATACTCATGCTGCTGGTGTAGCTAGTGCTTTTACAGATAAAACTGGGGCTGGAAAAATCACGTTTGTTCAGCAATATCTTGCCCCTTTAAAAGGATATTCTCGTTGGGATAAATTTTGTCGGAGTATGAAACAGTACGATTTTCGCGATTTTAAAAAAGATGAAATAGTGCTAATTGAACCTTTACTTTCGGATACAATGGTTTTCTTCGAAGGAGATATCATTTTAGATGCCTTTTCTCATTTTTCATTTATAGAAGGAAATCATCAGTCTGTTATCGCCATATTCAAAGGTGTAAAAAGCGGCAACGAATACCACTTACTAACTCCCAAAATATTACAGAAACAGAAGGAAATTAATGAATTTTTCGACGACCATGTTTGTAATGATTTGTGCGTTGGCTGGAGCAAGCCTGATGTCAAGATTACCACAGAAACACCATTATTTGATATCCATGTACCTAGCGAGCATTTAAAACTACAACGACAAACATCTGTACGAGTTCAAGAACCCGGTGAACACACTTCACAGATTAAAATTCCACACCGGTCACCTGGAATTTTGAGAAATCCATCAGCTCCACCACAGGAACAATCGTCGGCATCTTCATCGAAGAAAAAAGTGACCACTATTATGCATGCCGTTTATGTTCATGAAGATCCAAAACAGGATGAAAGAGGAAGGAGGGGGTCAGTACATAAACATGATGAAAAAGTGAGACGAGGTTCGCTTAAAAAACACGACGAAAAAGAGAGGCACGGGTCAGTTAAACGATCAAGTGTACCATATATTGACAATGCCATCCGAAAGGATCGATCTGATTCACATGTTCATGTTTTAAAACGGACTAACACTGAACATAGTTCACCAAGTACAAAGAATAGACCGATCAGAGTTCAAACTATGGTCGTTCAAAATGTGAGGATGCCAAAAAAGATGAACGCACAATCGACAGAAAAACCGGAAATCAAGCCGAAACCGGAAATCAAACAAAAACCCGAAGTGAAACCAAAGCCTGAAATCAAACCAAAACCAAAATTAAAGAAACAAGAAAGGATAGACAATGAAAATGATACCGACGATAAATATGGTGTTCAAAAGATGGCCGTTCAAGATGAGCTGAGGTTGCGTTTGTCCAAAATAGCGGTTAAAGAGAAACAAGACCCTAAGTTAAAATTACATGAAAAACCTGTTCAGGAAAGTAACAGTGTACAATATCTACCCGATAGATTACCTAAAGTTGTGAACAAAGAGCAAATGTTTCCAATATCAAATCTGAGAGAAAGGTCAACTGAACAAATAAACGATACACCTGAAAGTCAACCTGAAAAAGTAATTTTAGTACCTCATTTAGATAAGAATGAATCAGAAAAACTTTCAGACACACAAGAACTCCCTAACACTTCATTGCGGGAATCTAGCATATATTCATCCGGCATTGCAGCAGCGGAATCTCCGAAATGTAATGACAGTGTCAGTGAAAAGAAAGTTAAGTCAAAAAAATCTTTGCGGAAACAAGCTACAATAGCCTCGTAATAGATAAAATAATATATTTTACATACCAGTATTATTTAGTTACAATATGCATTTGTTTTTTATTATTATTATTACACCTCTGTTTGTCTGTCATAATATGTTAATGTCTTCCAAACTTGTAACGTCTTTGTTCAAATGCGATTTAATTGTTGCGTAATATTTTCTGCGAAATTCTTATTAAACCAGGGTTTTCAAACGGATAATGGAGACCTGCATATTGTTATTCGTTATTGTTGTCAGCAAACACATATTTTCATGAAACAATTCTATGTTCAAACGGACCTTATATAAAAATAAGAAGAGGTGTTATGCTTGCCAATGAGCCAACTACTGATATCCGCAAAAAAAACAAAAAATAACGTAGATGTTGGCAACTTTAGGTCACCGTTCAGTCTACAACAATGTACAAAACCCATACCGTATAGTCAGCCGATCGATACCTATTCGACACTTGATCTGACCGTCACCATCAAGCAATCCCATTTAAATTGTCAATTCTTGTGACAGTGACAGTCGGAACATTCAGAGATAAGGTGCATGACTACGATGTCCAACAGTGCAAGGGTCATAATTGAGCAGCGATAAAAACTATAAATCTGGAAACCTAATATCACCATTGTTTAACAGGTGTCACCAGGTCTAGTTATATTATTTTGCTTTCCAGAGTCATTCACTCTCTATACAATGACATTTGTCGCTGATGATGACCACCGTCGCTGAAAAAAAATATTTAATTTGGCTCTTCCATAAATTTCATCATAGAAACCAGGACCATATTCGTTTTAAAAGAAGGCTATACCTGTTGCTGTCCCGTTGGCGTAAATTCTCGCTTTTCATTATGGTGGAATCGGTGACCATGTATTGCTGCTATTGAAACCTTTAAGAAAAACGTATAAAACAGGAAAATGCGAACTTCTCATTAGCTCAATGGGTGTAATGAGTTATTCCCATCACTTGGCGCCCGTCGTCGTAAGCGTTTAAAAATCTTCTTTAAACCACTTGACCAATTGAAACCGAACTTGGGTTGAATAATTTCAAGGGTATTTTTGTAAAAAGGGATTTATTTTCCTTGCCAATCAACCAACATGGTCGACAGGGCTAAAAATAGAACAGTAGGGTAAAAAAAAAAAATGTCCGATATCCTCAAAATCATAATTAGATATATAGAGAAAATCTCTGACAAAGAAAATTCTTCTACCCTTTTTGCTATGATTTTTTTTAAATAATCACAAACAATTAGACGTATAGTTTTTTTTTTTTTAATTCTAAGCAGTAAATTAAGAAAAAAATAATCATATCACATAAAACAAATATACAGTTATTGCTCATTGTATCAATTTGTGTGACTTGTTTTTTTCATTAATTTAAAATTTTAAAGTATAAAACTTTAACATATTTTCAAACGTAAACAGACTGGTAGATACAAATTAGAAGATGTGGTATGAGTGCCAATGAGACAACTATCCATCCAAGTCACAATGTGTAAAAAGTAAACAATTATAGGTTAAAGTACGGCTTTCAACGCGGAGCCAATTTCCCCTTATTTTATTTCACACCCGGCCCATATTCAAAAAATCTTTTTGTCTTGATCTAAGTAAAAATCATCTAAATATAGTTCAAACAGCAATTTTGACAGATTTTGGTCCATTTATAGTATGTATTTAAAAAAAATGTTTATGAAGGACATCCCTAGCTAAAACAAAAATTATGTTTAAAGTAGAGCGATAAATTGCAGATTTAACACAAGTAAATTTATTTTGGTTAGAAACGTCATTCGATGCGAAATTTAACAAAAACTTGAAAAAATTGCAATTTTGTATCAAGTTGCCTTCGACAGCAACATGTAGCGCCGAATAAATTTTTGTTTTTATGAAAACGTAAAAATTTTGAGACTTGTTTTCTGTATATAATTCAGACTCTTTAATATTCAAAATCCAATAGGATTTGACACGTTTTAGATTTTGACCAAGTGAGTGAAAATTGACCCTACCCCCTTAAAGAAAATTAAGGACCGTTTGATTTTAATACAAATTTGTATTCAATATTTTTTCAGTTTCTCACAAAATAAATGCAATTGTATACTTGTGTAAAGGACCATTTTCTGATATTATAGATTTCTCACTAACGGCCCACATACCCGCTCTTGGACAGTCTTTCTTGTCTTTGTGCGGTCCTCTCCACAACTATATTTATTTATTTTGTGAATAGCGTTTGAGAAGTTGAAATTTATTTTCTACCCATAATGTTTTGTTCAAAGCTGAATCTAATTATCGCAGTAATCTTGAATTTCATAACGATATACGAAATACATTAACAAATAATTACTTCTGAAAAATCGGCTTCTGCTGCACTAAAGTAAATATAGCCATTTTACAAATGGTGAACTGGCTGCAGATTTTGTATTAAGCCTAATTTATGTTAACATTGATTTACTTTATATAAAAGAAAGGAATACAAAAATTGCGTACAAGTTGAAAAATGACCAAAAAAAATACCGCCCCCCTCCAAATAAAATAATTTATTAAAAAAATAACTCTGTATCCTCTGTAACATAACCAACTGTTTAACCAACCATCCGCTAGGAAATTTGCACGGATTGGGAAAACTACCAACTTGATTTTGTTTACATAATTAATTGCACTGCACGACATGCATATAAAATAATAATTAATTTCAGTTGTAATTATGTAATAACATTTTGATATACATCTTTGTTTTTGTTTTTTTACAATTGCATAATAATATTATGTTTTTAACTTGACGTTGTTTACGTAATCCAATCTATAAATAGGAAATACAACAACACTATTTTCGTCGTTTGAAATTATTAAGCAATCCAGCCCAAGAACCATGATACCAAAGTTGAATAGAAATACGGTATTTTTAATTTTTTTTGCCGTTGAACTACATTTGAAGCCTACGACTAGCTTTGGTCCATAACGTGTTCTAAATTTTGAACTTTTTTTGTGTGTTCAAGTTTACTTACAATTTTTACTTTTAAGTTTGGTGAACCATTAAACAATTTAAGCTGCTTTTGCTAAATATAAGTCAGTGCCAAAACTTTGGTCCCAGGCAAACCTGATAAAGGTTATTGCTTAAATCAGTATCACACGTATATATATCTACGGTGTTGATTAATCCAGTCAAGGAACCAGTTCGTAAAACCTGCTCATTTTTGGTTCGCCATAGAAATAAGAAAGCTTAAAATCTGGTAAAGATGTGTTTAACATCGAGGTAAATTATTTATTTACACGGAACCGAACCAATGTGCGCATTGAATAATTTCCTGTAAAATTTCTACTGCATTGGTTTAAAAGTAATATCCTCTTCAGTCTCGTCCTGTTATGTTTTGGTTGTCGCAACATTCACAAGGAATATGTGAATGCCAGTTTGCATCCACCGAGTTGATAGGCTCTAAACTTTTTGTTTCTGTAGAATCTGACGTTGTGATTTTTATCACTGGTGACATGGTTTGTGGTTTTTGTCCCAGATTATTTTCTGTTTGCTGTTCAATGATATTGTTTCTCGTCCCAACATTTATATCATCTGCAAATTTAACGCTTTTGGCCTTGTGTTTTTGTTTACTTGAACGCAGTGAGGATGTAAGCGGCTTTTGTCGTTGAAATGGAAGTACTTCTGCCTCGTTAATTTTTACTTGTGGTGAACTTGTTTGGTCTGATACATCTGAAGTGGTTGGTATCGACACAGGAGTAGAATTTGGAGACTGAAAATAGCTTACGTTTTCGTTTGGATCAACAAACTCGTGTAAATTGTATTTTATCAAAAATTCTGGGTTGGATGGTTTATGAGGATCGCTGTTGAGACGGGAGTTGCGTTCGTTCTTTTCCTTTTCCATCGAATCAGCGCTATCCGAGGTTGATATAAGTAACTTCTGTACATCAAGTAATTTCTGTACATCGTTATCATCATTGTCTAGAAAAGAATTTTGCTCGGTCTTATCATTTTCCATTAAATCTACACGATCCATTGTTTCTACGGGGTTTTCTTTAATTTCGTTTTCGTCAAGGAAAGAAATTGGTTCTTTTCTCTCCTTTTCCGACAAATTTGCACAGTCAGTAGGTATTGGATGAATACAGTTATTTTGTAATTCTATTGCTGTAGATGATATTTCCGGTTCTTCTTTCACAAGAAGTGCGTTGTTTGCTAAAGCTACATTTGTTCCTGTGTTTGGAGATGATTTGTCGCGCTCGTCACAAATACGTTCCACTCCTGTTTCATCTGTATTGCTATTTTCCACATTTTCTGTGACCTCTGTACTCAATTCTTCATTTGTTTCCTTTAAATCCATTGACAAACATGCATTTGAATTATTTTTTTGGTTATCATCATATTCAGGTATGATGTAATTTCTCGCAAACATCTCTAAGGAGCTTAGTGTGCTATCATTCGAAATGTCAAGGTCAGATGTGTTTGGTTCTATCGAAGTCGAAGATGAGATCTCTGTCGTTGGCAAAGAAATATTTCCCACATTTTGTATTTCACAATATGTATTAGAATAAGAATTCCATTCTTCAGTGACAACAGGCTTATATTCTAGGAATTCATCCCGTTGTTGCGATTGATACGTATCTTGTTCATTATGACTACATATAGATATGATTTCTGGTTGTGAAATTTTATTTATATTTTGACATGGCAGTTGCTGTACAGATGAAACGCTTGTTTGAAAATCTGTTGGTTGTTCAGATTCACATGATAATTTGGAAGAAACTGTTACTTCACTGTTTTCAGTATAGTTCTGTGTCACATCAGAATCTCCAGAATTGTCAGTCGGACAATGCTCTTCAGATATAATTTGTTGCCTTAACTTCGGACTACTTTCTTGACATGTGGAATTCTGTTTGGAGATATATTCCTGCTCGGAGATATATTGTTGTGATGGATCATTTTCGTTTGCCACATTCGGACTAGGCAATGGTGATGACGTTACTATATCTCTACTGGAGCTGTTAACATATCTTGGAATTTCTTCATCACCGAAACAATTTTCCACGGAAACTTTTGCATTTTGTTCATTTTTTTCTACATCCACATTATCATCGGTACTGTTCAACTTATCTTCATTTTTAATATCACTGACATTTAAACAATAAAAGTTTGGTCTCATCACAAGAGTTGTTGCTTCAAACTTTGAACTAGACATGTCGTAGTTGCCTACCTCTATTTCTTCAATGTCATTTCCAGGGAAGTTTTCGCTTTTCAAAGAAATAGTCTTTTTCCTTTGCTTATCTTCGTCCAAATTTTTAAATCTACAAAGGTTGATACCCGTCGGTCCAGTATCATGTATGAGACTATCTCTCCCGTCCAGGCAATCTTGATCAGAAACATTCACGTTGTCACTTTCTTTGTCAATATGAGCTGCTTGATTTTGCTCGACTGGTAACTGCTCTGTTGTCAGTACGGATTTTTCTCCAACCTGATTGTTTGTTTGTTCTTTCAACAAAGGTTTATCCTTTCCCAAACTGTCGGAATGCACTAATGCAGTGACGACAGAAAATGACCCATCACAAGATTTAGCGCCAAAAGTAGTTTCTAGGTTAGCATGCTCATTACTCTTTTCGTTTGGCGCTTCTCTGGACATATCGTCTTCGTAGCTCGGTGGTCGTGAATCGTTTTGAAAGTTAAAGAACATATTGTCGGTTGGAATATTCATGGGATTAACGGTTTCAGTAATACTAGATGGCTTTTTAAATTTACCACAAATGTCATTACATGTGTGTTTTTGGAACCATTTGTGAATATCGTACTTATGAGTTAACATGTCTGGTGTTAACAGCAGATATATTCCCTCATCTAATCGGTTGCCTTGAAATGCATACAACAAATTTTCACCATTGCTTTCTGAATATGAAAAATGAGAAAACGCTTCTAAAACTTTATCCTTTTTGAAGGGCTTCAGATCTCGCACAACCTCTTCAAGTAACACAATTTCGAACTTCAACAACTGTCTGAAATAACGGGGTTTTAGTTTTAGACAGACTTTGTCCCAACTTGTTTGTCTATGGAGTGGTGCTAGATATTGGTCCACGATTTCTATTCTAGCAGCTAGCGTTTGATCTGTAAATGCGGTTGCTACTTGATGCGCATAGCGATTTTGATCCAATTCTCCCTGCCAGTATCTTTCTGTCCCTGGTCTGTATCGCCTAGCTTTGACGACACCTACTTCCGGTTTTTCAAATTCATTACAGATTATTGCAGCCTTGTATACTAATTTTGTAGGCGTATATACTTGGGGATATAATCCAAAGCAGGAATTTACTGGTTGTTTATCACGTAAACTGTTTGTTGATTTCCTTGTCCACTGTATCACATCCCATTTACCCATTTTCTGAAATAATAAAATTAAATAGTCAATTTGTTATTGCATGTATTTTTTCCTGAAAATTCAGTTTCCGTCATGTCCCAAATTTTTACAAACACAGCATAGTCTTGAACAGACAGACAGACAGACAGACAGACAGACAGACACTGCATGGGATCGACAGAGGACAGTGGGTCGGGTATCCTAAGGGAGCGATAACACCAATCTATCATATATTAAATCAGATTTGAAGGTATACACCAATAAGACAGTAACTTAAAGACACGAAAAATAGACATCTAGAGGTAAAGATGTTGATAACTGTATTCTTGTGCTTATAAAGTAAGGTAAATAGCAGGGAATTAAAATATTACGATTTAAGCTTATTTTAATTTTCTTCTAAAATTCTGAATTCGACACTACTATGTCATATCTGACATAAATAAAATTCAATAGTGCTTATCACCAGAAAGGCAATGAAAAGATGACATATGTGGACAATGCATGTTTAATCTTTTGATGGTATGTGATAAAATTGGGGTGATTCCGTTATTGAAAAACGAATAAATGAATTAACTTTTTTAACTCGAAATACGGCTGATTTGTTAAGTCAAGCGGATTATTTTAACATAAAAGCACCTAAAATGATACGTGATATTATCAGGGTTAGTTTGTATAGAAAGTGTACTTTTGATATTTACCTACATGTTGATGACTCATACATGTTGTTCGAAATACAAGTCTTATAACACGCGATAAAACTATGCATGTCAAAGTGCACATGTAAGATGTGTAAATATATTATCTGTTATTGTCCTCGTAAATATAGTTACCACAATTCATGCACCTTGTTTAATATTTATTACTGTTGGGTAGAGTATTTGATATTTGTTGATATAATAATCGATGGACATACATAGTTTTTATGGAGAAAAATAAAAGGCAGTACAAAAATGAAATCTGATAGAAAAAAAGGAAAGATATATTGTAGAATAAGATCTTTGACAGAAAGACGGCATGTAATAAATGAACTTGTTTATAGCGAATATGGTCACCCGTCCGGCCATGAATATATAAGTGCATATAACCCGTCCATGACCTACTTAAAATATGTTATTTTCATATTTAATATTTTCAAAATTAGCTACACTTGTTCATTTGAACATCAAATGCGTCGCTCAATTTTACAGATGCGAACAGTATTTACCATTTCCTCTTACGTATACTGAGCGCCAATACAAGCGTAACACATCATATCCCATGCCCCTTTGGTCCTTTTTTGAATGAAATATTAGATAGTTTTTTTAAGGCATTCTATATAAGTAAAATAAATTTTAAACTAACATTTTATATACCCCTTTGCCTACAATTTTATCTATAATATCATTTCTTCTACAGTTAAAATGGTTGTTATAAGTATATGTATGTTACATAACACAGCACATTCTTGTCTACAGCAGAGCAGTCTGATTTTCAGGCTACAAAATAATCTGAAATATAATGCTTACATCAGCCGAAGGTGGGAAAAACTATGGAAATGTTCCCTTTGACTATCTAGTTACGTCTTATATTATAATTTCACTTTTTCGTGCGCATACTTATATGTCGTCCATTTATAAACACAATATATTTTGTTCTGGTTGATACTGAAATGAAAGTTTGAAAAGTTGCTTAAAACGTTTCAAAATAAGACGTCTAGGGACCCAAAAAACATTTTACTTATTTTGATATATAAAACAATTATCTCTGAACCAATTTGTGTCTTATCTGCAATCTTACCGACTGTGTCCTATTCCCAATAGTGCCATTTTGACTGAGTGTAGAATCTTATGACGAGTGATGCATGTATAGCATGCGATGCTTACCCAACCAACATTCATTTTTGAGTTCATGTGATTTCCTCAATTTTTATTTGTTATCTTGAATTGTATTTTCTTTATAGATTTATGAGATTTGAACATCGGTAAACTACTGTTGCCAAAATTTGATTTTTACATTTCTATTGTAAACTATTCTTCATATATTACGATATATTCACCATATCTCTTAAGTTAAAATTTAAGATGATATAAAGTACAATAGTATGTCCACACTCGCTTGTAATATAAACATGTTCACCTTTGTGTGACAGGGTGAAGTCGTATTATGTCGCGAAGTAGTGCTTTTTTCCCTGAACTCATCAGTTTGCAAGTCACAGACTTTCCAAACCAGATCGCATTGGAAAAGATAAAAAAGAGAAAAGATCCTTTCTTAAACTGTCTTTTGCCAACAAAGGTCTCGATGCCATCAACTTGGGCAATATCCTTCGTCATAAATTAGTTCATTCGAAAATACCTCTCATTTCAAAGATCAGTCTGTATCTATCATTTCTTATACCTATACCAAACCAATTGCAACTAAAATTTTCAATTACAAACACGCCTTGCAGGATCTCAATATTGACGACTTTAAGTCTACTCCTGATTGCACCTGTGCTAGTTCCCCATTCATATATAATCCGGCTGGCCACGTTATTACTGGTGAACTTAACATTGTCAATAACACTTCTCTGCGAAATGTGTTATCCAAAGGCCCGAAATATCGTGAGCCTAAATCCATCAATTGGAAACACAACTTCAAAATACTGATGGATTCAGTCAAGGATTATGCCAGGCAATGGGTTAAACGCGACAAAGAAGACGTAGATACTCTCTCCGAATGGATTAAGGCTGTGAGGTCGTTAATACAAATCAGAATTAAGAAACTGAAACGGTCTATTAATACCCATGCTACATCAATCTTTAAAGACCCAAATGTTGCTAAACACTTGTCTTACCTCCATGACAAATATGTTGTTGTCCCCGCAAATAAATCCCCAAACAACATCGTTTTTGTGTGTAAATCACATTACATAAACTGCTTGATAAATGAATTAGGTATTGACAATTCACTTGGAAACTAAACATATACCCCACGACACTTACTAAAGAGGAAATCCTGGATAATCATAGGTCTGTTCTATGTTCCTTTGGAATTTCAACCAAAGATGAAGAACTGGATCTTCCATCACTGTATTGGATACCTAAACTCCATAAGTGTCCTTACAAACAACGGTATATTGCTGGGTCTTCCAAGTGCTCCAGGAAACCTCTTTTTAAATTATTAACATCAATTTCATCAGCAATCAAAGCCGGGCTTCAAAGTTATTGTGAAACTACCTATTCTAGAGGTGGCGTGAATCAGATGTGGATACTAAAAAATTCCAAAGATCTTTTAGAGTACATACAATCTAAGACTCTTTCATCTTGCAATAGTACTAAAACATTTGACTTTTCTACACTTTACACAAATATTCCCCATTCCAAACTAAAAGACAAATTGAAAGAGTTGGTCCTGCTTTGTTTCATAATAAAATGGCCAACGTAGATACAAGTATCTTGTCTTATAAGGGGAGGGATAAATCCTACTTTGTAAAAAATCGCTCTGATCCTATCAAAACATTCTCTGAAACTGACATCATCAAGATGCTTGATTTCTTGATTGACAACATATTTGTTACGTTTGGAGGACGTGTTTATCAACAAACATTCGGCATTCCCATGGGAAACAACTGTGCCCCTCTTCTTGTCGACTTGTTCCTTTATTCATATGAGGCTGACTTCATACAGGAACTTCTTAGGAAGAAAGAAAAGAAGTTAGCAGTATCCTTTAACTTTACTTTCCGCTACAAAGATGATGTTCTCTCACTAAATAATTCAAAATTTGGTGACTATGTTGAACGCATCTATCCCATCGAATTTGAGATAAAGGATACAACAGACACAGTTAAGTCTGCCTCATATCTTGACTTACATCCAGAAATTGACAATGAGGATCGGTTGAAAACAAAACTTTATGACAAAAGAGATGATTTCAGCTTCACAATTGTGAACTTTCCATTTTTATGTAGCAACATTCCAGCAGCGCCTGCATACAAAGTATATATCTCCCAGTTGATACGATACTCCAGGGCTTGTATTTCCTATCATGATTTCCTTGATAGAGGGTTGCTGCTCACAAGGAAGCTATTAAACCAAGAGTTCCGAGTGGTGAAGTTGAAATTATCCCTTCGTAAATTTTACGGACGCCATCACGAGTTGGTTGACCGTTACAGAATATCCGTTTCACAGATGATAGCGGATATGTTCCTAATGTCGTAACTACAATCCCATCACCTTTTCCTGACTGTGACCTACCGAGTTAGGCTTATGACCGGGTTTGTACTAACATTAGCAACACGACGGTGCCACATGTGGAGCAGGATCTGCTTACCCTTCCGGAGCACCTGCTATCACCTCCAGTTTTGGTGGGGTTCGTGTTGCTCAGTCTTTAGTTTTCTTTGTTGTGTTTTGTGTACGATTGTTTGTCTGTTTGTCCTTTTCTTTTTTAGCCATGGCGTTGTCAGTTTATTTTCGACTTATGAGTTTGAATGTCCCTTTGGTATCTTTCGTCTCTCTTTTTTAAAATGACTTTATGTACAAACGAAAACAAAAAACAAAACTAACAATTAAGATGACAATACTTTCATGGAAAACTGATGGCAAATAGTTTCACTCATCGATAAACGAAGCTCAAAACTTTAGTGATAGTACATTTTAAATTACCAAAATATACACTTTGCGCAGTGGTATATAATTATTTTATCACTTTAATAGTTACTGTTTTGCCAGGATCAATAGCGATGTTTGGTTTCTATTGACATTTAAGTTATTTCCTATTTGATATATTTCGTTTGTGTTACGAAACACCCTGGTCTGATAACGAGATGTCAGCCTTCGATTAACCAGTTAATAAACTAATACGAAGAACATGCAAGAAAGGTCAATTTATGCAGTGGTCATTTTTTTAATTTTTTTGGTTAAATGACTTTGACTTTTCACAGCTCCCCTTTGCCGAATCAAAAATAGGATTAGTTCCCATATATAAGATTCAGTATGTTCGATCGCAGTTTATAAACTTGGAAATAAGAAGATGTGGAATGATTGCCAATGAGACAACTATCCACCAAA